GGAACACCTGGACAGATGGTTCGGTTCGCAGTAGGTCGAAAGCTCCGTAAACCTGATCATAAGCATGAGGCTGTAAGATTCTTGAATGGCATAGTTGCATTGAAGGCTCCATCCAGTCGAGATCCGACCCAAATGAAGGAACTTGATGAACCATTCCTGTTGCTATAGGGATCTGGTTTCCAACACCATTATCCGGATGGCACTCGTATCTGTCTCTAACCAGCTGAGGATACGAACTACCATCGAAAACCCTTCAAGAAACAAGAACCAACAGTCAAGTTCAACATATCCAAGAAAGCAGATGTATAAATTCTTAAGAAACAGAGACATCTGAACTAGCAAACAACTTTGGAAAAGTTATTTATTAAAGGTCGTGTGTGGGGTAAACTGCCACGAGGAGACTAGTTGATAAGACTTAGAATAATCTTCTTTCATTTCATAAGATCAAGACAATTCAATCACAATCAAAGAAAAGTTGATAACTTTGAGACAAATCTATCAAATTGTTATGAATCTCGTGAGCAATAAAATATCATTCACATGTACGAGGTTAATTGTCAATCAAACACACACACATGGCTTCAGGTGTATAGAGAAAAGTAAACACGAGAAATTAGGGGGAAAAAGAAGAAGAGTGATTACTGCTGGAGAGCAGAAACAGCATCTTGGACTTCATCAAGAGAAGGAACAGAGCCGAAAACAGAGACATCTTCTTCGCTTCCTTCTTCTGAAACCCACTCAAAGTCGTCATAACCGCCGGAATTCACAAACGAAAAAGCTCCGCCGCTCCATCCGGAAGTTGCAGCCACCGGAAGATTCAACGATGCAGCCGAAATCGTGAGATTGTTAGAGGTAGAAGAAGATCCAGGTTTCTGGTGTGAGATAGCCGAAGAAGATGACGAAGAAGACGGTGATGAAGCAAATGGGTCTTGGATTCCGCCGTTGGCTACGCCGGTCCTCGTCATCGCACGGCTGGCGGCGCGTAACATCCCTCCGCCGCCGCCCATTGGTCCTCTTCCTCCACCGAACATGACACAGAGATGTGAGTTTAGTCTGGTTTTTTTTCTTTTCTTACCGAGTCGATTGAATGAGCACTATAATAATTAATAATAATGGAGTTTTGCGTAAACTTAGGATTTGCTTGGAACAGTTTTTGATGGTTTCGAGGAGACGGATAAGATTTAAATGCTTAAAGGATTTTCTGAGAATATATATGACTTTCTTTGATGACAAAAAAACAAAAAAAA